GGAAGAGGGGCAGCGGAGAGAGTTGTGGCACAGAGGGAGACCGGCGTGCAGAGCACCCTGAGAGCCAGTGCCCTGCAGCCAGCCCCGGAGAACCGGCCCAGGGGCTGACCTGCCCTGGCGGGGGGCGCCCAGGTGAGGAGAGGGCCCGGGGGCTGGTGGTGGCGCCATGGTGGTCACGGCTGCTCCGCAGGGTCAAGAACCTTACGACTGATTTCCTGTGGACAGACAGGAAATTCGAATATAGTCCGAGTGGACGCACAGCTCAGGAACACTGTTTCCTACCCACCGAGGAGGACGGCCGGGAGGGAGGGCGCCTGGTACTGGGCGGTCTGTCGGGCAGGTGACCGAGGGAGCGAATGCGTGAGTGCGTGAAGACTAAGGCTGTCGTTCCAAGCGTGACCGACAGTTACTTCCCAAGGCTTAACTAGAATCTGTTTCTCGAAGGTGGAAAAAGATCCTTTCCTTTCCTCTGTGATTCTTAGAGACAATGTTCCCAAAGTTCCCACGACAGGGTATTTTTACCCTAGGGATGAAAAATGTTCTCTTTATTTTCATCTTTACCATCCGGTTTCTTAATCACCAATTCTTATATACCTTTAACTTTACGAACCCAGTCAACCTAACAGTTGTAGAACATTTATATTCCGATTCAAGAGGATACAGATACGACTGAGAAATGAAGGAAATGATGTTTTTTTCTGAAGTTTTAAAAATCAAGAAGCCACCCACTGCTAGTTTGACGCTAGCAGCAATCCTATCCAGTATTTTATAAATGACTTAGGAACAGAAACCCCCTCTCCAAGACTTCTTCACACATCATCCATATTTGTCACTTATCCTAACTTAAGAAACATTTCATTATCTAATTGAGACAATAAAACATTTTTAAAAATCTCCTTTAAAGAGAATCTCAAACACCTCAATATGATCACATGGCTGATCCTCTTGAAAAAATATCTAAAAAAGAGAAGAGAGAGCTTGGGCTGGTGTGGCTCAGCGGGATCGAGTGTTGGCCTGCAAATCAAGGGGTCGCCGGTTCGATTCCAGGTCTAGGGCACAGGCCTGAGTTGTGGGCCAGGTCCCTGGTGGAGGGTGTGCGAGAGGCAGCCACACATCGATGTTTCCCTCCCTCTCTTTCTCCCTCTCTTTCCCTCTCTAAAAAAATAAATTAAAATCTTAAAAAAAAAAAGAAGGAAAGAGAAGAGATAGAAAAAGCAGTAAAGAGACTGGTATTACATTATTTTTAATCTACCCACTTACTTGTTTATTCCCTTGAAAAAGTTCTTTTTATTGAATTTATTGGGTGACATCGGTAAATAAGTATACAGGCCTTAGGTGCACAATTGTACAACACTCCATTTGCACACTGTGTGGTACGCACCACCCCGAGTTCCTGTCCATCACCATTTATCCCCCCGACACCCTCCCCCACCTCTCCCCACCCACCCTCCCCCCAGCAATCAGACAAATGTTGCTCACGCACAGCCTCTGTGCCAGCCAGACCCTATGCTTGATGCTGGGGAACAGCGGTCAGGATTTTAAACTTATGCTGTATATGACCCAGCGCCCGAGTAGCCGACTGTGGTGAAATCTCAGCCCTAGTCTTCTCCACTCATGAAAAGGAAGACAAAACTCAAAATTTACTCTTGGCTTTAAGTTGGCAAGTTTTGTATGCGGGGACAGGGTAAAAACTGTAAGTTAAAATTACTTCTGGGTATTTCTGAAAAGACACACAAGAAATTAGTAATGATTCCTTCCAGGAAGGGGTACTGGGATAGAAATCTTTTAATATATAGACCTTTACTGTCCTTTGAATTTTAACCATTTCATGTATTATTATCTAGTCAAAAAGCAGAAGAGTAGAGACTCAAAGTAGTATATAGAAACAAATCAGAACACAAAAACCTAAAAAAAACCACCAAAAACCAAAAATCCCCCCTAACATTTAAAGATAACATAGACAAATCAGGAGCTCACGCAGGGGACTGAGAAAAATTGAAAAGTAGAAGTAAAACCCAGAGGAAGATGTGTCTTGAATGCCAGACTCAAGGAGCGGTTGACTACGTGCGTCAAAAGAAGTAAAGCAGAGAAGAATTCAGAACTGTCCTCTGGAGTTCTCAGCTTCTAAATAGTCGGTCAACAAACAGAAATATTTCAGAACAATGGAAGTCAGCCTGCAGGGCTGAGACAGGCGTGGAAATGGGGACCGTAAAAGTATCTGCTTTTTCAAAAAGCATTGGAAAAAAGAAGAGAGTAACCTTTGGAAAAGAGGCTTCAAAGAGGAGAGTTTTCAGGAGGGACTACATAGGAACATGGTTCAGGCCCAGGGCAGAAGGATGTTAATGCAGATGGAACACAAGAAAGAACGAATAATTGATGGGGGGTAAGGTCCCAGAAAAAGAGGGAGAAAGAAGTCAGCAAAACACACATCTAGATGGAGTCCATCTTGAACAGGAAGAGAACCTCATGTCACAGGTCATTTTCTAAGGCTGGAGGGAGGACAGGTTCAGATTTCAGGGAAGGACAAACGGGGAAATGTGAACAAAGGTCACAGCTGACGGCCTCAGTTTTCTCAGTGCGAAGTCCTTTGCCGTCCTCTGTCCCCGCAACATCAGTCCACAGCAGGTCGACAGGACCGGGAAATAGCGGGCTGGCATCCAGGCGGAGTAGGTTAGGAAGGAAAGAGGGAACAGACCCACCCGGAGAAAATGCAAGCGATTTCAGTTATGCTCAAGGACGAGGAGAGCGAATTTGGGCTCTCTTCCTCCATGCTCTGGCTCACAAGTCTCTCTCCTTCACAAGGAATGGTCTTCTTCTAACCCTTGTCAAATCTGAGCTACAGTAACAATACTTGTGGTAACTCACTGGCCAACCACTCTGTGGTCGGGCACTGTTGTAAGAATGTATGTACCGCAGGAGTTCACTTAATCTTTACCACAATATGAGACAGGCACTGTGTTCACCCCTTTTACAGATAAGAAGAGCACAGAGAAGCTAGGTGACTGCCCGAGTCACGGAACCTTAGTTGACTGCAAAACATCACATGTGTTACAAGGGCGCATAGCCTGGTAACAGCGCAGTGACCTCGGCTCTCTGTAGGTAGCTGGGGACCCCAAAGTCAGTCCCCTTTAGCCATTGGCCCTGCAGAGCTGTATAAAGGTTACTACCATCTTCTATTTGGGCCATGCTGTAAATAGAGCAAAACAAAACTGCTGGGATGCATGATTTTAAAACACAGCTCAAACGCTGTCTATTCTGTAGTATTCCCTGACTATCATCACAGCATGAAGCGATCTGATCTCTTACATGTATTCCAATTGTGATTAATAACTAGTTAATTATTTAATGGGAGGCAGCCTCCGTTATTTAGTTGATGAAAGCAAGAATGTGGACTTAAATAAGATCATCTAAATTTTTCCCAGCAATATAATTTTATAGTTTCCCCTTTCCACTGCCATTGTGAATTATTACTTATATCCCCCATTATTATTCACAGTTTCCTGGGTATAATACAGACACATCGTGAACCACTTGAGAACAAAAATCATAGCTTACATCTCTGTATAATGCACGTGGGTACATTACACTGAATGCATGTAAGGTCAGGCTTTATCCACAGAAATTGCCTAAAGAAGTCCAGTTGTATATATCAAAGCGAAAACTTTTTCCTGGATTCACTGGCTCTAGTTTCATTAACTTTTCTGCCTGTTTGGCTATGAATCTGAGAGGACAGAGGACTTGGAATTCTCTAGGTCACTGTTTTGTTCGGAAGACTGGAGGACCGGGCAATCCTAAAGTTCCCTCCTTCCTCCTATAACTTGCTCATTGATCTTTTCATCTTAATTTACATTGTACTTGGTATTTAATTAGGAACCCTAACTTAACCCCTCCTCCGAAATGTAATGAGTCTTTAATGACAGCCAACTCTGATGTATGATACACCCACAGATGCCACCTCCCAGGATCACTCAATACACACAGTTTGGGTATAAGCCTTTCTGAAAGATGTCTGTTTAAAAGACCTCTCTGGAGAGATACAGGCAGAAAGGCATTACCATTCCCTACGGAAATACTTCAAAGGTAGAAGCTCTCAGCTTGGTTTCTGAATATATAACCAACTCATTAAGGCTGTGTCAGCCCCTCATTAGCACTCAACTCAGAGAGGATTTCTTGGCCATGTCACGAAATAGGGGATTTTGATAACTATCCCCAGGGGTGTAAAATAACTTCCCTTTCCTATTACTGGAGAAAGCCGCCACATAAACTTGTAAGACCACGCATGCTCTCATTTCCTACGTCACTTGGCTGGTGCAAGATTTCCATTCTCATTCTCCCCAAACACTTATGAAGCAGGGGACGCATTTTACAGGGTTTGAAAAGCAGACCTGTCAGCTCGGTTCTGCTTAGTGTAAGAAAAATGGACGGCTGGGCAGCTTTCTCCCGGGAGGCTGCAGACCCCCAGGCACCTACCAGGGCTTCCTTCCCCACAGTCAGCACAGAGGTGTAGGCTTCCAGGTACACCCGGCTGCAGCGTCTCACAACCTCCAGGCCCTTGACTGTGATGTCCTTGGCATCGCCCAGGCCCAAGCCGATCAGATAAAGCATTTCAAAGTCCAGGGGGAGGGAAGCTGCAGGAAAAATGAACAAGAACACGTGTCAGCTCCCCCGAGGGCACCTGAACTCTAGGGATGAACACGAAGATGGAAACCAAGTAGCTCCAGGAGGAACCGCCGGTCGCAAGGAGTGAGACTGGAGAATCTCACTTCCAGCCTCCTGGAAGGAGGATCGGAATAAATGCCCTTAAGCAACCCTGTCCCGTTTCTTCTCTTGTTACATAAACCTAGCAGCCGACAGTCACCCGGGCAGAGGATCGGCGTCGGGGCCCCGTCCCCCACAAACTGCAAAGCGCCGCCCTTCCGAGGCAGCAGTATCCCAAGGAGCGGATCCTTGCCTAGCAAGTACCCACGCGGCCGCTGCGGTGCCGCAAAACGCCGACGCCTTTACAGCACTTTACGACGGCTTCCGCGCGGCGGCGAGCCGGTGGAGCGGGTTGGGAGGTCGGGTGCGGGCTGGTCGCGGGGCTGGACCACAGTAGACCCTGTGGCTGCTGGGGCGCGGAGGTTAGTCCGTTTGGAGCCCCCAGCGTGGCTTCTGGGGGAGGGCGAAGCCGGTGGCTTCGGTGCCTCCGCCTTAGGACCGGGTCGTGAGGGAGTCGGTGCTTCTCGGGACCCCCGGCGGGAGGATCTCCGGGATTTCCCCAGGGCAGGGTCCCTTTCCCGCTCGCGTCTGGCCGCCCGCTTCCCGGGTTAGGGTGTGCGCCAGGCACCCCCGGGGGCGTGGGCAGTGATTCCTCCGATCTGTCCCCGAGACCTGATTGGGGGAGTCCCTCGGAGCGCCATCGGGACTGCCTGGGTCCTCCTCGGGTTCGGGCGTCGCACACCCCCTGTGCCCGGAGAGGTGACCTTTGAGAGGCCTCGGGGACTTAAGACCTCGCCCCAGGGGTTTCCTCGGGGGAATTCCTGTGGAGTAGGGACTCAGAAGTAGCTCCGAGGTCGGAGCTGCCCTTCGTGGAGTCACGGGTGGCTGCATCCAAGGCGCGGTTCAGCTTGAGTACACGGTGTTGATTACTCAGAATTCTCCTGCTGCTTCCCCCCCAGCGCCTTGTGTCTTGCCCCGCTCCGCCCCCCTACGCCTTGACTTTATGGCACCCCCCCCCCCCCGCCCCCGGTCCCATCCACCCTCTGCGCGCATTCTGTCCACTCTTAATGACTCAGTCCATCCCTTCTCATTGCATGGACCCATCCTTCACACTGTAAACACAAGTTAGTTTCAAGTGCATCGTAGACGTAAGCGGAAAAACCTAAAACTATAGAACTTCCAGGCGAGAACACAGGGGGAAGTATTTGCGCAGTTACGTAGGCCGAGACTTGCGCTGCCTCACCTGTGAAAAGCCGAGCTGGCACTACCGTCCCTCGCGGCGGTTTTGGGAGGATGGATGCGAGGACGCACACCAAGGGCTTAGCAGTGCCCCGCAGTCAGTAACCGTGGCGGACATCGCGATAGACTTTGAAATCCATTTTGCAGGGATCTAGTGGCCGTCAGATTATAATGGGACAATTAGTGTCTTTCCTGTCACCTGGATTGGTTCTTATTCTATTTCCCCGTTCATGGACGTGCTATGAAATCATTACGTAAATTCATCCACCATAGGCCAGTATTCTAGATGCAATATTTTATTCATTCACAAAGGGTCCTCTTAAGCAACCATTATTGTGCTCTGACGTACTTTTTTTTTTTTTTTTGAGAAAAACTTCTGTTTTTTAATAGTCTGTCATTGAGTTTAGCGCTGTGGATTGGGTTGGCGACCATGAAGTGTGGGCCTGACAATTTTGCTTAAAGTAGCAGATGGCTAATACTGCAGATGGGGCTTGTTTCTTACTATTTTAGTGCAGTTTACCAGTGAGCAGAGAAAATGTTCACTTGGGACCTAAACAAATTAATTTCTTAAAAGTTTTTTAGGCGCTCCACAACAGTGAGCAGGAAAAGCGCGGCACGTTCGTACGGTCCAGGACTGGGCAGCGGTGTGAACGGATGAAGTCCTTCCGCACGAGACGGCGTGGGCGGGGCTCACAGCAAGTGCAGCCGCAGACCCCTTGGAGACGGGCCGTCGCCGCCGTGGCAGAGTCCGCAGGTTCGTGAGTACGGTTTGACGGATGTGAAAGCGCACAATCACGGGCCCACCACCCAGACCGGGATGCGGACCCTCCCGGCCTCACAGAAGGCTCCCTCTGTCCCCTCCCAGGGCCTGCCGCCCCTCCGCACAGCGACCGTTGTTGGACCTCAGGGCCATACACTGGTTTGTGTGTTCGCATAGCGGCAGTCCTGCCGCGCTGAACTCTTTCCTGGCTGGCTTCTCGGGCGCAGCCTCACTTCGCCCATATGTGGATTTCTACACCAGAAGTTTCCTCTTTTTCCTTGCTGGATGGTATTCCCCTGCGTGACGCGTCACAACGTCGTTCTCTTTTTACTGCCGTTGGACGTTTGCGTTGTTTTAGTTTGGGGTCAGTATGAATAAATAAATCTGCTGGGGACATGGTTGTATCCGTCTTCTGTGGAACACGGCACTCATTTCTGTTGGGTCCGGTGCCCGGGAACTGGAATTGCTAGGGTATAGGACAGGTGTGCTTTTACCCGGGTGGACAGAGCCAGCAGCTTCCCACAGTGGACAGCTGACGTTTCCACCGCCTGCTGGTGAGAGTTCCAGGCCCTCCGTGTCCTCGCCCACGCGTGGTGTTGCAGGCCCCTTGAATCTTAGTGGGCGTGTGGATCTCTCACTGCGGTTTTAATTTCCAGTTCCCTGATGGTTAATGATGGTAATCACCTCATGTGTGATTGATTTTCTAAGTAAATTTTATTTTGGTTTTCTAAAGGCAAAAGTATTTCTCTCCCCCATCACAGTGTTATTTCAGCACTGGGTCTGTACCTGTGAGTAAACCCGTTTTCTCCTAAGACGCTGTCACTGCTGGCACAGTGACCGTGTGGCCCGAAGAATAAAGTTACGTACGCCCAGGGAGAACCCCAAGGTGGGCGCACCCCTCATTCTGGCCCTGCTGCCAGAAGCCATGTGAGCTGGGACCATTTTGCCATCCTCAGCTGAATGCTTTAATCCGGATGACTTCTCAGACACGCCGTAGGATGCGGGAACCTTCCTCTGCGGGAGGAGTGGGCCGGAACGGGAGAATCCCAGATCAGTGGTCGGATGGGCCTGGGCTCTCTGCGGGGCTCTGCTTCCTTTCGTGGGTCTAACCCCCAGAATAGGTCTCTTCCTCCTCCTCTACCTGCTTTTAACAGGTTTTGATTTGAAAATAAGCAATACTGTAACTCCTTACACCGGGAACTTAGCATAACCAAAATATAAGAAATGTTAAAGCCGTATGAGTTGTTATTAAATGTGTGTGCCAATCAGCTGTGTAGACCTCGGTTCTTCAGCTTTGGCAATGTGGTCACTTGTGATACAGACTGATATTTTTTCCCATGATAAACCTAGAAGCTTTTTTAACCAGAATTAGACCCCTGCCTCTATCAAATTGCAGAATTTCCACAAACTTCATTCTCTTGGAGGGGATTTGGTTTCGAGTTTTCTAAAACCTGGGCAAGGCGGTGGGGTGTGACTCACCCTAACCTCATTTGCTTGCGTTTTACTTTGTTTATTTGGGTTTTTTGTTTTGCAGTAACATTTTTTGTTGTGTGAGTAGCAGTGTTTCCTTTCAGCATTGTTAAACTATGCACTGTCAGAGCTCCTTACGTTTTTTTGAAAAGAGTGGCTTATTTGGATCCAGACCCATATAGACTCTATTTTAATCAACGTCTTTGCTTCTGGCTACTACTCGTCTTTGGGTGTTCCCTGCATCAATGCTTGCTGAAATTCCAGTGGTAGAGTCACCACCATTGTTTACTCCATGCAAACCAGTTGCAGACGCAGTGAGAAGCTGGAGCTGGAGTCTGGGCTTCCGGTTGAACTGCTGAGGCACTCGAGTTCCGACTCCTTACTAGCAACGGGGCTTCAGGAAAGTCCCCAAATTCTCGGGTGTACTGTGCGTGGAATTCAGATGATAAAGTTGCTTTTCTCCTAGGATGTCACGTGGGTCGAATGAGGGTGGTACTGCATATTTGACAGCTTCGAACAATGCGTCGTACTCCGTGACCACCGAGCAGATGTCCGCTGCCATTGTGAGCAGCCCCATCTCCGGGGCCCTGGGAGGGTGAGTGTGCGGTGGAAGGCAGGTGTGTACCCCGAGGTCTGCGGCGCAGCGCCCGTTAACACGAGCGGCACTCCTGCCGCACGGGGGTTTTCTCTGGCCGGTTGGTTGTGCACAGTTTCTGTGTGTGAAGCAAAATTGCACTTTAGGACCACTCTCCCCACCCCACACAAAAAGTGAATTTACAGGTAGGATATTTGGTACGCAGAAGACATGGGTTTCCAGGCTAAAGCTCAAAGCTTTTGAAGGTTGTAATGTAGCTGAAATGCTGTTGGTAATGAAAGAAGCAATAACTGGTATTAATAACTTTTTAAAAATAACTAAAATTTTAAAAAGTAAGGAAATGAACTTTTTTCTTGAATGATGCTGTGATGACATGTGTCAGCCCCTAACACTTTGCCCTGCAGCCAGTTCGGCTGCGTGTGTAGGGGGGCTTGTCTGGGGCGGGGCGGTGGGGGACTCGGGGACCCACTCGGTTCTGAAGGACCAGCAGGGCTCCTTCCTCACCGTCAGAACCGTGCAGATCTTGATGCCCGCCTCTCGGGGCACTGTCTGGGCCCCGTCTGGCCTCCCTGCGTCTCTCTCTTGGTCGCAGAGTGCCCTGCCTGGTACCTACACGGTCCCTCCCGCGTTACTTCCAGGGAGGGAGCCACACGACGGGTGCCCGTCTGCTGAGGCGCTTGACTCCTTGCCCGTGGCCCCATCGCACATGAGTGCCTTCCCTTTGGCAAAACAAGACCCCCCCCAGCCCCCACTGGCACCCCAAAGCTAGCTACTGCCTGCCCTGTGGGAGACGGTCAGCTCACCAAGTATGAAACAAACAGGCTGAGCACGGCACAGTCTCAGCCTCGTGGAACATTGTTGACTCAGGCCCTTCCGACCTGCCCAGCTGGTGGCCTGGGGGCCCTTGTTCTCGGCTGCGCTCCTGCTTGAGCAGCCACCCTGGGGCTCGAGTTACAGGTCTCTCGTTTGGTTGCGTTTTAAACAGATGATTCGTGCCATCCCATTACCTGCGGAAGCAGCGCTTCTAAGAGGGGTCTTCACCAACAGCATGCATGGAGACTCCTGCCGGGTGTTTGTAGTTTTCTATGGGTATTCGATTTGCCTGCCTTGTGTCTTGCTGCTGGTTGCTTTGCCTCAACTCTCATGACGCTCATTGCTGTGTGTGGCTGCCTCCACGTGGTGGAATACGCCTTGCTCCTTGACCCCCAGGGACCTCACCCTCCAGTTCCAGCGTGGAAGCCCCTCCCTCCCACCGCCCCTGCATGGCACTCTCCCTCCAGCCTCTTCTGGCCCCTCCGATGGCTTGTTACTGCTGCGTGTGGCTTCTCCGGTGAGACTGCAGGTTTCACTCGCCCGTGGGTCCTCTGTGCCCTGGGGTGGCACTCTGCCCGGGGCAGGTGCTGTGTGAGTATTCACAGGGCATCTCCGTGGCGGTGCAGCCCAAGGAGGGAGGTGCAGCCCAAGGAGAGCGGCGCAGGCGGGAGGCGCCCAGTGGAGCCAGGGCAGAGGCGAGGGGAGGGGAGGGGACCGGTCCACAGTCGTCGTGACCGTGCGTGCGGTGACCACCGGTCTGGAACAGCCTCAGTGGCGGAGCTGAGTTGAGGCGTGTCGACTGTACACTCGGTGTGGCCAGCCGTGAACGCAGTGGAGTTGGCGGGGAGGGTGGGCATTGATAAAAAAAAAAAGCTGGTGTGTCTGACGTCAGAGGTTCGTGCCAGACGTCAGGAGAGGGAAGCAAACCCGGATCTCCGTTAGCGGTGCTCTGCACTCAGTGGGGTCGCGTTTGAAACCGCAAAGAAACGGATCCTAGAAAAGCTCTCATTTAGTCTTTCCGGGACGTCCTAACATTTAATTATTGTAAACATAAACTCCGTTTCATGGTGAAATTCCCACAAAACGAGAATGAACCACGGGGTTTTCTTCCCTCCTGCAGCCGGCGGGACCCAGGACGAGAGAGCATTTCTGCACGCCCTCGGCGATCCTTTCGCACCCCTTTCCCAGAAGCCCCCGGGAGCGAGGCTTCCCTGTTTCTCGGGGATCGCAGATTCGACAACAGATGCGTGCACGTCCGGGAGCGTTCACCGGGAGCGGAGGTTTGGCCCGGTTCCTTCCACAACCAATCGGAAGCCCGAGGACACCCAATTGGCCTTATTCGTGCCTGATTTAGTGCAAAACACCATTTATTTAGAGGCATGCATAGGCCATGTGTCCTGTACTCTGCAGGCTTACGAGAAGCGTGGTTCCTGCCGGCGCCCTCTAGAGGTGATACCCAAGTGGCAGGGCAGCCCGATGAAGGGCCGAGCAGCGATGCAGCTCTGCTCCGGGTACCGGCTGCACTGCGGGAAAGCGGGGGATGCGATGCCTTGTGCTGGACACTGCTCCCACTGCTCGGCCTAACTCTGTTCTTTTTGTGCTGCCTGGGTGACACATGGAACCCCTTTCTGGATGCTTAATTGGTCATCAGATAACCAGGGTCTGTTTTGTCACAGTTTGGGGGGGCTGCACTGATGGGGTGTTGTCCAGGGACCCTAATTTGGTGCAGCTGGGGCGGCCTTGCAGATGGACTTCAGCCTCACGGACGCATTCCCGGGATTTCTCAGGTGGCCCTCAAAACCGGTCTCTGGGCGCTGGACTAACCCTAGCTACCTGTGCCTGTTTCTGGGATCACAAACCTGGCTGCCGTTTTGCCAGCTTCACTGGTGCGGGGGGAGAGGCTGACAGTGTGTGCTCTGACTGGGACACCCCTGCCTGCTTTCAGGCGCCTGTGTGCGGACACCCTGGGGAGCATGCAGTGCGGAGAGGTGAGTGGGTGTGCCCACCTCGGCCCCGGGAGACCTGGGGCATCCCGGCCTTCTGCACTGCGCGCTGGCTCGTGGAATTCTCCTGAGCCCCGCAGACACGGGGGCCCCTGAGAGCCCGGCTTCCGGGGCCCACCTGTCCTAGTGACCGGTCCTGTCCGTGCGTCAGACGCACTGGCAGTGGAGCCGCAGCCCCCCGCCCGCAGAAGGGTGTACTGTGCGTGGAGACCTTGGCCCAGGCGCGGACCCTGGTGGCTCCTGGCTTTATTGCAGCCTGTGTTTTCAGTTTTGCCATTTCATCTACGGTCTCATTCCTCTCTGATGTTGCTGAACAGCCGCGGGTTTGCTGCTAACCATGAGAAAAGATTCTCGCTATTGTCATTCTAGCCCCTTCCTCAATGCCCTTCAGGTGAGCTCCTGAGCTCGAACTGCAGGGGCGTCAAGGTGGCACCCGCCCTCCTGCCCTGCCCCCACCGGCGCTCTCCACTGTGGCAGGTCCCACAGGGATGCATCTGCACCCCAAAGCAGAGAGAGATTCTGGGGTGACCCTGAGAGCTCTCACTCCCTAATTAATTGCTCTCTGTGTCTCCTAAGTAACCTGGACTCGTCCAGCCCTCCCTGGGACACAGCTCAAGCTTCACCCTGTCTGGCTGTCGTCACCTCTCGCCCCCGCCGCAGGGCAGCCTGCGCACCGGTCTCCCTGTCACCCGCGTGTGTTGATTGCTTGGACCCACATCCCAACAGGGTTTTCCTGAGAGAAATGTCACTGTGGTCTTAACACTTTTCAGTCCTCCCGAGCTACTTTCACATGAAGGTCCAGACTCCGTGCGCTAGTACCAGCTCTTCCTCGCGTAGCGGTGACCTGGTCTCCAGGCCTCCGTCCTGCGGCCCGAGGTCCTTTGCTGCAGCCACGCCAACCCCCTCTCCGGAAGTCGGGGTTTCTCGCTGTCGCCACTGGGCAGCGTGGCACGTGTGGGGCGTTTGGTGTCCGGGCCCCTGCGGCTTGGAGTCCAGACCGGGGAGCCCTCCATGCCCCCGCCCACACCTCCCTGGCCCCCCATCGCGCCCCTCCTCCCCGGCGCTCCCTGCCCCGCGCTCACAGTTCAGGCCTGACGTCTCTCCTGCCCAGCCGCCGCTTCCCTTCCCCGCCCTCTGGTCTGGCGAGGACACACTTCCCGGCTCGCGTGTCTCCCGCGGCGCCGGCCAGTCCCACTGCGGGGGTCTGTGCGCACCTCTCCGCCCTGACAGCAGGCACTGCGCCCGGCCGAACGCGGTGCAGCTGTGGACCACGCCGAATAAAAGCGTGTCGGGTAAAAATATGTCGGATGTCTGATTTACTTCACGAATGATTACTGTTACCCACAACTGCAGTGCTTTCTACACAGATGAGGTGATGCAAAATAGGGTGGCTCCAAAAACGGCCACACCCGCTGTGTGCACCGCAGAGCTGAGAGGAGAGAAAGTGGGTCAGGCACCCGCCGGCGGCACCCGCGGGAGGGCCTTTCACAGCCGCGTTGACACCAGCTGCCTCGAGTCGTGCCCCAGCTTCAGCGGCTAAGGGCACCGCCGCCCCCGCCCCCCCCGCCCCCAGCTGCCCTCATTTCGGCTCCAGCTGCAAGCGTGGGAATTCCCAGGCTCCCCTCACTTCCCACCAGCTCGTCACAGGCTTGGGAGGTTCCCGAGACCGTCCGAGGGCTGAGGATTGACGGGGGCCATGCGCCGAGCTCGGGCGCGCTATGCACAGCTTATGGTTCCCCTGGAGCAGCACAGGCGCCCGCCCGGGAGCAGACCCACGGAGTGAGGTCTGGAGGGCCCCGGGGGGGCAGGTGCTGTGTGCTCTCCCTGCGGGGCCGGAACGTGCTCCCCGCACACAGACCGACGCGACGGGGCGTGCGGGATCGCTAGCCAGGGGAGCTCGCCTCAGCCTCCGGGTCCAGGTTTCGTCGGGACCCACGTGGAGGCACGGTGTCGGCTGGCCTTGAGCTGGACTCCATCTCCCCTCCCCGCTCCAGAGGTGGTGCTGAAAGCCCCAGCCCCCTGGTTCCTTGGCCAGTCTTCCCGGCACGGCCGGCCGTGGCTCTGAGTCACCCGTTCATGGGAACTGAGGGAGCCCACCGTGAGTGACACACGAGTCACGGGGGAATTCCTGGGACGGGGAGGCTGCCTCGCAGGAAGCTGGAGGAAGGGCCACCCACGTTCTTTATCTGACAGTCACGGGCCGCCTAAAACAGCCTGGCCGCCAAAACGCAAATCCTGTGGATAGTCCAGAATTTGTGTGCCCTAGTCTGTTCCTACTGCATCAAGAAAGGACCATGAGCCCTGGCCAGTGTGGCTCCGTTGGTTGGAGCGTCGTCCCGTCACCGTCACCGAAAGGTGGCCGGTTCAGTCCCCAGTCTGGGCCTGTGTGATCCCCGGTCTGGGGGCACACAGGAGGCAACCCACGGATGCTTCTCTCCCACATCACTGTCTCCCTCTCCCTCTCCCTCTCCCTCTCCCTCTAAAAACAACGAAAAAATGTCCTCCAGTGCGGATAAAAAAAGAAAGGACAGTGATTCAAAGGGAATGAAAACAGGATGTGAAGACATCCGCAGTCCCACGCGCGCTGCAGCCGCACCCACGGCAGCCCGGGCAGGGAGACAGCCCCGGGGGGCCGTCAGCGGGCGGATGGCGGAGGAAGGCCCGCACGTGTGCAGCTCTGGGAAGGGGGAACCCAGCCGTGCGCAGCGGCGGGGCGGGCCGCAGAGACAGACAGGTGCTGCTGAGTGGTGGTCCCGCGCGGTGGGACCCGAGACGTCGGATGCGGAGAGACAGAGGGATCGCCGGAGCCGGGGCGGGGGGCTGTGGGGAGGTCGGTGAGAGGGCGCACGCAGGGCTCTGGGTGTGGGGTGGATGAGGCTGAGGACCCACGGTGCCGTGACTGCAGCTAACAGCGCCGTGCGGGATCCCTGCAGTTTGCTGGGAATAAACTCAAATGTTCTCGCCAGAACAGGAAGGAGGAAACCCTGCGTCCTGTGCTGGTGGAGTCTGAGTGGCCCTTCAGGGCCGGACCGACCGCCGGACTTGGCGCTTGGAGAAGCCTGTGGAGGCTGTCCGGACAGAAGAGATGTACCAGAGTTAGGGAGTGCTTCTGAGAGACAGTAATCAAAATACGTCTATCTGACCGAGGGTTCGTGTCTGAATAACTGAGTCCTACTTACAGGCAAAACCCCCTTCTCCCCTTGACTCTCGCGTGGCTACCCTGTACCCCTGACCCCGGGGTGCGGGGTCCTCCCACACTGGCCCTGTGTCCTGCACTTCCGCCGCACGGGTTAAGGCTCAGCCCCCCAGACTGCTCCCACTTCAGACACCCATCACGAGGGCGGGTCCCGAGGTTCCCTGTATATGTTTTGCAACGCCAAGCGATTCTTCCGGTCTCAGGAGATGCCGATGGGGTGTCCTACGGCTCAGCTCGGTCCTGGCGCTGCCTTCCTGGGGATGGGGTCAGACCCACAGGTGAAGGGCTCAGACCCACGAGAGCGCCCCCTGCAGAGGTCAGGGGCAAAGCCAGATGGTGCTTCTGACCGGCTCAGAGGCTCCCAGCACCCCGTTTGGGTTTGGTCACTAGAGCAGCTCATGGGACTCAGAGAGACACGCTCCTTACTGAGTCACTGCTCAGCGAGAAGGGATGCCACTCAGGAACAGCCAGGTGGGAGGCGCACGCACGTGGGGCCAGGGGCCGGGGAGGGGCCCAGAGCTTTCCTGCTCTCCAGGCATGCTGCTCTCCCGGGCGTCCCCCGACCTGAGAGCTTGGGAGCCCCTCCTCCGGGGCATTTATGGAGGCGCCATTCCTTAGGTGTGGCTGAGGGGATCACCTCGGCCAGGGGCAGCCCCCCTGCAGGTCGGAGGGAGGGGCTGGGGTGACAGGTCTGATCCTCTGTCCCCTTGACAAGTCCCCTCACTGACAGAAACCCAGGTGTGGCAAGGGGCTTATTGCGAATAACAAGACACTCCTTTGTTCTTTATGGCTCTGGGGCTATTTCAGGTCGTGGTGACACGGGCCAGGTAGCGTAGTGTAGCAAAAGGTGCCGCTGTGGGCTTTACACGGGAAAGCACAGGTTCGGGGGGCCATGAGCCAGGAACAGTGGGGGAGACCCAATTGGTATTTCTTGTTGTAAATCACCCACAGCCTCTGCCCGGCTTCCCTGCACACTTCGGTTGTCCACAACCCTCCCGGCAGAGTTGTTTCCTAGAAGAGCTCCCAGGAACATGCGTGTGCACTGGTTTGTGTGGCAAAGGGCATCATAAAGGGTTCACGTGAACAGCTGGATGAGGGGACACGCAGGGTGGGGTCTAGAAGGGTCCTAAGTCCGGGAGCTCTGTCCCTGTGGCGTGCGGACCGCAGACCCCCGGCACGTGCACGTGGGTGTGTCCACCGGCCTGAAGCTCCCGGAGACTGAGCCATCGGCGTTTCCCTGACGCGCATCATGGAGGCACGCTGGCTTACGGGCCCGTGTCCGGCCCCCACCCTGCTCCAGGGGCTGAGGGACGGGCCTGCCAGTTCCAAGGTCTCTGGTAACCAGTCTCCACCCAGAGTCCCCTGGGAACAAAAGATGTGTCGTCACCCAGGAAATTACAGAAGTCTTCGGTGCTCTTGGTCGGGAACCCAGGCCAAAGACTCAGCATCAGCACCGAAGGGTCTCCTGGCGGCCACCCCCCTTTACGGGGGCTTTGAGTCTGTGTTAGGAGTTGGGGGCGGCAGCCCACATACACATTTAATGTTATTTTACTCTACTCAGAAATAAGAGAGTTCAATTTTTAAAAGTGACTGGCATACCACTTCACCAGAGAAAGTTTGTTAATGGCTAGTAAGCCTAGAAAAAGGTACTCAGCATCATCATTAGTCATTAGAGAAATGCAAATTAATGTTCACCACGAGACACCACTGTACGCTCATTAGCATAGCTAAAATTAAACAGAGCAACACTAGCGTTTGCCAAGGATGTGGGGCACCTAAACCCTCTTCATGGCTAGTAGCGTGGACAATGAAGAAAAAGGGCTTTGGAGACGTACTTGGGAGTGGAGCCTGCGCCCGCACTGTGCCTGACCCATCCGACTCCACGTGTATCCCTCCGAGAGAAGCGAGTGCAGCGTCCACGGAAAGACTTGTCCCAGAGCTTCCGTAGCAGTTTTTTTTTTAAAGATTTTATTTATTTATTTTTAGAGAGGGAAGGGCGGCAGATAGAGAGAAAGAGAAACATCAATGTGCGGTTGCTGGGGGTCATGGCCTGCAACCCAGGCATGTACCCTGACTGGGAATCGAACCTGCGACACTTTGGTTCGCAGCCCGAGCTCAATCCACTGAGCTACACCAGCCATGGTGAGTTTCCGTAGCAGTTTTATCCCTAGTGGCCCCACACCAGAAGCAGTGCGAATGCCCGTCATGAAGAGAATGGATAACAAGTTGTGACGTAATCATACAGTGGAATACTGACCTATAAGCAACTTAAAAATGAGGGACACATAGCAAGGTGGGTGACTATGGACACCCTGACCAAAGGGAGCCACGCACGGAGGGATACATGCTGCCCCATTAACTCGGCATTTTCAAACGAGAAAAACAAATCTAGGAAGACTGTGAGTGTTGCATGGGAGGGGCGGGGCTTTACTGGGAAGCTGCTCTGGGAAGTGTCTGGGGTGGTATCTTACTTGACTGGTTGTTTGTTGTGTGTGTGTGTACATTTGTCCAAACCTCATTGTACCCTGAAGATCTGTGCTCTTCACTCACTGCACATGAACTTCGGAACCAAGCCCAGCACACCCATAGCCTCGTGAAAACTTTCCTAGAACGAACCCAAGGCACATTTCTCGCCTGACACTTCACTACAGGTATCTCTCTATCCCAGCACACGCACTGCATTACGTTTCATCTGATCAGAGTCTTGGAATGCTGGGATGATTGTAAGATGCATGAAATCCACCCTGGCACGGTTTTGGGAAATGCTTAGCTCTCGGAGTGCAGCCTGGTTGGTTCTCCGGTTAAACCACTCGGGGTTCTAGTCCTCAGTGGCCCGGTCACTAGGTTTAGACATAACTTGTCTGCTCCCTCGCCTTAGGCATTCTCGGGCATTCTTCGGGGTCTCAGTGTTTTCAGCCATTAAAAGAGATCTGGACGAGCCATTTTAATAACAACAATCACTATCTTTTCATCTTCAGCTGTATGCTAGGAACCCTACAAGAGGCTTTGAAATAAGTTTCTCTAATTGGCACAACACTCTTATGAGATACAGGGTTGTGTAATACTGCCTGTCTTATAAACGAGGAAAT